AAAAAAAAAAAAAACAATTGTAAAAAGAAATTATAAACCGTAAAAAATGGCACGAAAAACACACATCCAAGTAAGTGAGGCAACAGTGCAATGGAATAACAGAAATAAAAGAGAAACAGATGAAAGAAACGAAAAAAAAAAAGGAACACATTTGTTACGTTATAACTCATCCACTTTTTAGCCGATGTATTTCACAGTATACTTTCAGGCTCTAGAAACCGTAGCTGTTTCTTATTTTTTAATTTTATTCCTCATCCTGCTCCCATCCTCTTCCTTCTCCTCTCCATCTCCTTTTCAAGCCCTTTCCAGTGTAAACATCATAGCTGACCGCTAAAATAACTTCAAATTTTTTTACTATAACTATATAAAAAACGATTTCAAAAATCTCCTACTTGACCATTATTTAACTTATTTTCTCTAACCCGTTTTCATAACTACTACTTTCTCTTCGGTATCAAACTATACAAAAAAAGCAGAGACAGTGAAATAAATAGATTGGTAAATAAACAGATAAGCATGCAAGTGTATAAATATACACGAAAAAAAAAAAAAAAAACAGAGAAAATAAACAAAAATAAAAAGCCGAAGCCTAGAAATGTTTTACGAACGAGTTCAACTGCTGGTTGTATCAAAAATTAGCCTTAACCAATCAAAAAGTATTCTGAATTACAAATAAGCAAAAAAAACGTGGAGGAAGTTTATTTGGTAAGAAAAACAAGAAAAAAAAATTGCTGCCAATATGTAATCCATGTTTGTGCTCAACTAATTCCACAGAAAACTGACAATTTTTATCATCCAAAAATGACCTTAAAAAATTAATCAAGCATCGAAGTGTCTCTAGTTCTGCAGTATACCTAGCTGGCTTTCCACGAAGCTACTAGAAAAAATTTATAATTATTGAAAATAAAAATAAAAGTGAAGTGAAATAAAACTGAGTAAGAAAAAATTGCAAAATAAAAATCGTTTATTAAAGTATCGTTAAAAAACCGTCTTAACTTTTAATAGCCTTTAGCCTTCAGAAAGAAAAAGTGCTTAATTTAGTACATTAGCAACTACTACCTCAAATTATAATAAATTCAATAGATTTATTATCAAACAATTAGAATAAATTCATG